TTTGAAAATAAATTCTAGACAGAATTTTTAATAATTTTTCATTCTTCTGTATGCCTTAATATTGTTATACTTTAAGTTCCTAATTATCCATGGTCAGTTTTAGGACAAATTTATCGTATAGATATTTCGCATAAATAAAATCTTGCGGATGTGACAATGTTATTTGAAGGAAAGAGGCACGGGAGCTTTGAACCAGATGGCAATTATGTGAAATACTCTAGTATTGATGTTGAATGTATCAAACTTGATTTAGTTTGCTGAGAAACAGAAAATTTGATAAAATTTACTCCTAACAGTGGATTAATTGTTAAAATTTTTTAGCCTCATTTTTCATTTGTACAAGATTTTGTCCCACAAGAATTTATCTCTGATATTTTTAGTCAGTACTCTGCATTACCCCCCTTTTTTTTTTCATTCTTGCTGGAGAAAACTTATTCTCCAATAACTGATTGTTGCAAATATAAATAATAAAAGGGTATTACAATTCTAAAAACCAGTATAAAATATTTTATCTTTTGCTATTGTGTGCAAAATCTATCTGTGAATTGTGTGCAAAATTTGTTTATTTATTGCTATCATCATGCAACCTAATACTACGCACTATCAGGAGTTTACTGTGTATGGAAAAATACCAGAAAATAGAAATTTATTAGTAGATTAAAAATTATGACATAATTTTATTTAAAACTATGGCTCCTGAAAATAATTTTTTTAATTACTAGTTTCTCTTTCATCTGCATTACTCTTATATTATTAATTGGATTAGCAATTAAAGATCGTAAGTTGTATCTCTTGTTATTACAAATTATTAACTTTATATCAATGTTTTATTTTTATAATATTATTGCCTTATTTGAATTATTTCCTTTTAACTTTCTTTTTTCTTTTTCAGTGATGCCCTATGTGGCTGGTGGATTGGAAAATCATAAGACGATACTTTTTTCCTGCACTTACTGCAGCTACTCCACACGCTATAAATATCATTTGAAAACTCATCTTAGAACTCATACTGGAGAAAAACCATACACTTGCAAAATATGTGGCAGATGCTTTGCACAAAGCTCTACGATGAGGACTCATGAAATTTGTCACATGAAAAAGAAACCAAACAAAACTTGATCTCAAATATTTCAGAATACTGTTTGGAACTTTGTATATTTATTCTTGCATACGTTACAACTTTTCGCAGGAGGCTCTTCACGATTTCCTTACTTTTTTCATGCATGATAAATTACTTTTTTATACTATTTTTTAGTCTGAGCATTGCTGAACTTAAAGCCAATTGCTTGTTTTAAAACCAGTTTCTTCCCAAGAAAAGAAATTAGGCAAAAAATGTTAACATGTTTTTACTTGGATTTATAATGCTTAGAAAGTTAATAATAAAAGTGAAGGATATTTTTTTTTCAAGATTTTGTCTGTGTTTCAGGCTGAGAAATAAGTAAATATTTATATCTAACTACTATTTGCTGCCCTACTATGGTACGACTTTCGGGAGAACTCCTCCAGACATCAGTCTCATGTCGGCACGGTTTCGAGGAAAAGTAATTTGGAATAGGGCTGATCTTTGCATAGGTCAGCGTGATTAAACCAATCAACACCTTCATTCCTCCATTGCACCCCCATTAGAAATGTGCTCTTACTTGTTACCATAGCAGCAGACGGCCCCAGGCTTTAGTCTGTAGGAGTTCTTCTCGTAGCCGCCCAATATATGAATAGTGTTTTCAAAACAAATCTCGAGCTTCTTACCTTTACGACTTTCGGTTAGACAGTTTATAGTTGCTTACTACAGCTTATTGAGCAAGGCGATGCTTTCAAACAGACAATTTTATTTTCATTAAAAGAAGTAAATAATGTGATGTTTGAGCGCAAATCTGCTGCATTTCATAAGATAATGATGTTAAGTGATTCTGGTTATTTGAAGTAAAAATTTGTTCAGTTATTTATGAATATATTGCTAAAAAAGGCAACCTGGTTGCTATGTTCAGAAAGAACTCACTTTTTTGGCAGTAATGATTTGACTTGTTCATTTCTATTTGTTCATGTTGCAAGCAGTGCTTACGTTAGTGTTAGTATTTAGTTAAAGTAACGATACAAAGCTTATTTTTCAAATTATCATTTAAAGTAAAATTTTGAAGTTATTGTTTACAAGGTAACAAGTTTTTTATAACGATTTTTCTTCTAATACAATTTTAAGTTTTTATTACCTCTCAAACCACATGTTTATTATGTTTCTACATGTACTGACTTCACTATTTACTGCCTTCTAATTAATTATCTTATTTACTCTTAATAAGTTGAGCCAAATGGCCACAAAATACACCAGATACAGTAACCTAGAAATATAAACAGTAATATGCCTGCAGCATTTATCTAGTGTAGAAAACACCATTCATATTATATTGTTTCGATTGTCATACTAATAAAAGTTTTTTTAGGTTTTTAAATGCAGTAAGTCACTTGTTTTATTGTGCTTCAGGATACCCATCATTCAAATATATTGCCCTCTTGAAAAATAAATACTCGGCTATTCTAAAATACATTGAAAAAGAGTCATTACATTTTGAAGGTGCAATATTTCCTTTTATTCAAAGAAACCTGATTAATAATTTTTTGGTTCTCATGAAAAGAGACTGTAAGTCAAAATATATTCTTTATGTGTTAAAAATAAAAATTAGCAATTGAGAATAGAGTAATCCTTTAATTTTGTTATCCCAATTTGTTTATATGTTATTGATGTTTTACATAGAACTTTAAGATTTTAGTATACTGTTGCATTTTTTTAACCTACTCCTCAAACATTTGCAATATAATAAGAGGCTACTATATTAATAATTAATTTTTTCCATTAGTTATAATTTTGTTTAATTGTAACTTCATTTTTTAATCTTTATTTACAAATTTTATGTTGTGTTGTTTTTATACATGTTGGCAGTTTTTTTTTATTATTATTATCCATTTTATTTCCTTGCTCATTGATAGCTTGATTATAATTTTATATGTTAATTATACATTGTGAGCATTTCACACATTGTTTATAAATTCATGGCATTATTTCTGACTTTTTATTAAAAAATATACTTATTATTTTAGAAAACTTAGATTATTATGTGTATTTTGGATAAATTATTACATCCAGTAAAAAGGAAATAAAAAATGCTTTGAAAAGCAATGTTTTATTTAAGGTTATTAATTTTGACTTATTTGCTCTTAGAAATTTTTGATAACTTAAGCAAAATTAACATTTCTACATAGTAAAGATTTTTTATATGGACCTGATTTACACGTATGATGTCATTTTATTTTAAGTTTCAATTTCATGTTAAATTAGGTCTATTAATATTTAAAATTAACAAAATAAAAAGTACTTTCTACAATTTTTATCTTTAATTTTTTTTTAATTGGTAGTAATTTTGAATGATTATTTGACTTTTATGCTTAAATATGTAATTTATGAATATTTAAAATTAAACATTGTATTAAAAAATAATTACAATTAAAGATAAATGCATCATATCTGAGATACTACAAAACAAGTTTGAACTTATTACTTGCTCATAAAAGTGGAACTAATATTTCAACAAATAAAAAAAGACTTAGAGTAGTCTAATGATATCACAATGTTTTTTATATTCTGAAAAAATGTTTTTTATTTTTTTGCTAGGAAATATTGACTTTTCATTTCGGCAATAAGATATTTCCATGCATTGTGTTTTCATATTGTGGAAATTCTAGGAAATTTCATAGTGCTTACTATGAAATAGTACTAAGATACAGTTTCATCTAAAAAGGTCACCTTTGCAATGACTGAGGCTCCTGTGTTTCTCCAATTTTTTCAAAATATTAATTTCTTTTATATTGTTACGAATGAAAAAAATATAATAAGTAATTAAATAAAAATTTTATATTTTTTGCATTAGTATGTAGCTTAGATCTTCCTTTTGATTCAAAAACCCTCTGAAATCATTAATTATAATAACTTATTCTAAATTTTGAAAAAAATACTTTTTTTTTTAGAAAAGAATATTTCTATGAAAAAAAATGCATATATTTAAATCAATGTGCTTGTTTTTGTTCAAGCATAGCATTTTAGAGTAAGATTTAATATTTGAAGAGAATTTTCCAAAAATTTATTTTCAAAAATTACATTGTAAACCAACTAAATTGTTTTTGTCTTCTTTTTGAACTATGATTACAATTATTGTTTTGAGCTCTCAAAATATGTCAATCTTTCTTTCATTTTAATTGTGAAATGTTTTAGTTACATTGTACTATTAACAGTTGCATTTGCGGGAATCATTTATTTAATTCTTTATATATTCTTTTGTTATGAGATAGATACTTGATATTAATTTCAAGTAAAAGTGCGAGCATTAAAATTTTCAATTGTTTACTGGAATGGTAAATAGGATTTTCCTCGTTGCTGTTTTCAGAAAGCCTAATTTGTTAAAAAAATAATGAATTGTAATCTAAAATTTTTCTTTGCTTTTTTTTTAGGTTTGGGCAATGCAGGAAAGCAGAAGTGTAACAAACGTGTAAATCTTTTTGAAACACAAATCACTTATGACAGATTTTGCTAAATAAATACAAATTGTAGAAACTGGAAGGATTAAAATGAAAATAATAAAAATCTTTTTGGAATTTTATTAATTATTTTAATTTAATTCTGTAAATATGACTAATATAGTTTGGAATTAACTTTCAATTTTAAAATCCATTAATTATTTCCTTGTAGATTGAAAGTCTTCTGTTTAATTATATGTTTTTTAATTTCTTTACATAGTTATTTTTTTAACTTATATATACAAAGAATGCAAAAAAAAATTATGGGTTTGTGTAAACGATGTGAGTTTAAGCAATTGATAAATTTTCCTTTTTTGTTTTAATGAATGCTACAGTGTCTTATTTTCAGCTTTATTAGTAAGCATTAATAACAGATTTTTTTAAAACAATGGCACACTTAGAATTTTATTATTTATATAGATGTTTGTATATGTGTAAAAATGACTGCAAATGTTAACAAAAAGAGTATGCTTTGCTGTTGACTGTGTTTACAAAAATTCCATCATATATTGATTACGCTATGTTCGATAGAATACAAGATTTTTTTTTAACAGTATTTTTTTACCGCCCTGATATTACAGATGAGTGTTGGTTCAGTTAATGTATTTAGTCTAGTTTTAAAATTTAGGAACAAAAATAAAACCTTTGTGAAAAAATTTATTATAATTAGAAGATGGGTACGATGGAAGTACTCAATGAAAAAATATCTTATCTTTATTTTTGCATACCTATCGTGTGTAATATGTGAAATCTTTTTTTAAACGTAAATTCAAACATTAATAAGTTCTTATTTCTATTATTATTTTCTTGGTTGGTGGAAAAAAAGAATTTTTCAGCCTTTATTTGTACCAATTAATCAAACCAGTGAACAGATTTCCAAGGAGATGTCATTACTGCGAGAATTATTAACATTATAAAAATGTTAATAGTTATCTTTGATTATTATAGTTTATTATAATAACAAATAACATTATTTATTATAATAAACTATATAATTTTTTAATCAAAAAATATATTTATAATGAATTTAATTGCAAAAATAATAATAGTTCATATTACATCTAAAATTCAAACCAGCGTGCAAACATGTAAACTCCTTTCTAATACTAATTAAAAAATTTCCAAATACTTTCCTCTGGATAGAACATCTAAAAAGAAGTGCATTTAAGGATAATGAAATTTTCTATTTTGATACAAATTTATATGGTTTTAATTTACGGAGAATGGCCATGGAAGATAGTTTTTATTGAAAATAGATTTATATTTTTAGCTTTTTTTGACATTTCTTATATCATATCTTTTTGTTTCAGAATATTCCAGTGTGTTTGTTGAAGGTAATATTCGTAGGAAGAGTCACAAATGCCCTTACTGCAAATATTGCACATTTCATGGTGGTCACATGACGTATCACATTAGAACTCACACTGGAGAAAAACCATTTGCTTGTCAGATATGTGGCAAACGCTTTGCACAAAAAAGCCAGAAGAGGATGCATGAAATAATTTGCAGACAGAAACAATTTCAGCAACAATGACTGAATAATAACAATGTTTTCAACAGAAAATTTAAATTTCAGTCTTTCACTTGCTTTTTTAGAATGTATAACATGTTTTATAGCTGAAAATATAAATTTATCATAATTTATATAGTTTATAATTACTTTTTTGAATATTAAATTTATTATTTATTAAATTTACCATTTAAATAAATTTATAATATACATTTTTCACTCATTGAAAATGAAACACATTACTTTTTAGTTTTTAGAAATGTTTGCACTCTTCAAAAGAAATTTTTTTTCATTGTCAATTTGAGTTTTTCATACATTAAATGTTTTTGCAGTCTGTTTCAATTCTTTAAAATAATGCTTTATTGTATTTATGAAGTAAAATAATTGTAATTTGCATGTTTTTTCTTAGTATTTCGTAATTCCTTTTCGTAAAACCAGCATGCTTTCTAGCAAAACATATAAAAATTATCTTGAAAAATGCATGCTTAGAAGAGAATCATTCACAATTATGTAAAAGTGAAAATTTAGTGTTCCTGTGTGTTACTTGTAATGATAAAGCATTTTTTCCTAGAAAAACATAAAGAATAAATAAATCAGTATTTTTCATTCCTTTTTGAATGTTTTAATTATTTTAACTCAGAATTGGAAATTGTAAAATCTCACCTACAATTATAAGCTATCTGCATGTTTTGCTGCCAATTATGCTGAAGTGTATAATATTCGTGTACATGTTTGCGGAAAATTTGTCACCATCATGGAAAATTTTTTAGCATTTTCTTTTTTTTTAAATGCTCAAAATGTCCTTACTTAACAGTGCAAATATGAGAACTTTTTTCTCTGCTTGGTGCAGCTGCTATTTTCCTGTGATTACATCATCGCATTTAACTTTCAGGCTGGCGGGTATTAGAAATAAGTTTTTTTCCCTCTTTCTTTAAATTAGTAAGAAAAATTCCGTCTCTTTAAAGAAAATTCCTCTTTTTTGAATTTTCGAGGAAAATCGCACATCATGTTTGGTATTTCCAAGATTTTATATCAAGCATCGTGTTTGGTATTTTCAGTATTTTATATCAAATATAGCATTTCATATTTGCACGATTTAAAAGCCACTATCATGATTCGTGTTCAAGTGACTTACAAATTAGTCATCAGAATTCCTATTCATGTAATTTTAAAATCAAACATCAAGACTTGTATTCACATGATTTTAAAATCAATCATTGATGTTGATTCATGTGATTTCAAAATTAAATATCAGGATTTGTATTCGGGAGATTTAAAAATAACACACTGATATTCATATTCGCAATTTAAATAAATAAATCGAATCTAGCATCGATGTTTTTATTTAAATGTCGGGAACATTCTGTGGATCCAAAAAAAGAGATGCTGATGAAAAGGTTGATTCTTGCTACAAAAGTTAATAAATTGCTTGCAGAAAGTTACTTAATTGATATTTTGAGTTTGCAGAAAGTTTTTTATTTTCTCCAATCTGCTGGAATGTTACTCTATTGAAAAATGCTTAGAAAAGGAACAACTGAAAACATAATAATTTGGAGTATTTCATGAAGGAAAAAAAATGCTTTAATGTATCACTTTCAACATGTCTTACGAAAGTATGTTTTCTTTAATTTAATTTAGTGTTTGCTTTGGACAGTGTTGAAGGTTTGTGGAGACTAAATTGATGCTCTTTAGTTTTTATTTATTTTTTAAGACGATTTTATATTTTACTTTATACTTTTTTTTTCAGAATCGACTCTTAGAACTAGAGTTCGCAGAGGAAAGAGAAAGACGCATGGTTGTCCCTACTGTAATTATTGCACATTTCATACCGGCCACTTAAAGAGCCACGTCAGAACTCACACTGGAGAAAAACCTTTTGTTTGCAGGAAATGTGGCAAATGCTTTGCACAAAAAACTGGTCAGAGGATACATGAAGCAAATTGCTTACGCATACCATATAATTTACTATAGGGGATAATATTTGACATAATTTATGAACTGCTGCATGTGTACTTAATTATAGTGCTTTAAACTGGAACATTGCTATAACAGAATTGATTGTTTTAACAGAATAGTTGTGTATTTATCCTAAAGCATTGTTTTTCAATAGTTAATATTATGCTTTGTACTGTCTTATGTATAATCAGCTTATTTTAATTATCGATACTATTATTAACTAAAAAACAACAAATAGTTTGATTTTTTAAACTTTAAATTTTCCAACTAAAGTTTTAATTTTTTTAAAATTTAATTACCTTTATTTTAATCACTTAATTAAATAAACAGTCATATTTTTGTAATGAAGTTTGTTTTGAATATTTCTGAATGAAATTTTCATTGTTTGTATTTAAATAAATTCAAGAACTGATTTTTCATTTAATTATTTATTTATTTTTATCCCATTATTTTTAATACCTTTTCTGTTAAACAAAAATGTCTGACTTTTTTGTGTAATGAATTATTGTCCTTCAATGGCACATTAATGTAATTTTTTAATATTTTTTTAACGTTAACTATTTATTTTTGGTATAGTTGCATACAAGGCTATATTTTGATTTAGCCATATGTTTGCTTAATTGATTTATTTTGCATGCAGCTATTTTGAGATATTGTACTTTCAAATTTTAGCAGCCTTGAAAGGTTTGCCTTGTTATAGCAGCCAGTACTATGATTGATTTTTGATGTAGCAAGTGAATAAAGATAAAAAAAAAAAGAATGGATTTAGGTTAATAAATAGGTGAACCAGTTTAAAACTCACAATATAAATAAAGTTTGTGTACTTACAATTTATAATTCGTCATTTGACATTCACAATTTTTTTCTTCATTCAAAACAAACCCATTTTCAAAGATAACATTCCTTGATAATTTTATATGGAGTATATATTTTAAACCAGACTTAAAAAAGGAACGAAATATATTTTAAATATTTAAATATATTTAAAATTTATTGGTTATTAATTTAATATTATATATTAAATATTAAGTATATTTAAATTTTACAGGTTTCACTTCCAACATTAAAGTATAATCTTCTGATTCTTTTGTTTTCAATTTGAAATTGATCCTTTATATTCAAACAATTTTTTCATTGTGCAAAAATTTTTACTATGTAGTATTTGTACTATTATTGAATATTGTAGAAAATTTGTATCATTTATGAAAAGTAAATATTTTTCATTGTTTCATTTTATTAAGTAAAGTTACATTTTTATCGAGTTTTATATCATTTTTCACAGTACAGCAATTTTTCACTTGCATATGTAATATGTATAGCTTTATATTCTACTCTGATGCTTTATAAATTTGTTTTTATAAATAAATGCGACTTATCATTTTTTTTAAATCATAAAATATATAGTTTCCTCAGTTATTTGAATAATTTAAAATAGTAAGTAGTATATTTTAGTTTTTTTGCTAGGAAAAAAAATCATTCTAGTAGTTACTTAATAGTTATAAAAAAACTGTTTTTCTGTACAACCAAGCTTTTATAGTTGACTAAAAATTTATATATGCGTTATACACTAACACATGTGTATATGTATTTTAATTGTATGATTAGATTCTATGATAACGCATGCATGTTATCATACGACTTTAAAAGCTGAATAAAGTTTGAATAACACCTATTTTTTATTCATTTTGTTTCAGAAATGCTCTATGTCATTAGTGGAGGAAAAGCACATAAGATACACCAGTGCTCTTTCTGCAGTTATGCTACAACTAATAGTACTCATATAAAGGACCATTGTAGAACTCATACTGGTGAAAAACCATATGTTTGCAAAGAATGTGGCAGCTGCTTTGCTCAAAGCTCCACTTTGAAGAGACACCAGATGACTCATATCAAGAAGTAACAACACAAAATTTACTTCAATTGTTTACAAACCACACTTTGGGGCTCAATATGGAACTTTTCGTCTTTTGTTATTTTTCATGGGCATATTTGCAGAATTCTCGTCATCAGTAGAACTAAAACTTTTATCCTACACTGTTTTAATTACAGTCATGTATCAACTAAATGTACCGTCATAATGGATCCATTGACGAAAAGCCATGCATTTATTATAAAAATGTGGCAGCTGCTTTTCATTAAATTTAACTTTGTTGTTGCTGTATAAAATACTCTCATTATGAAACTTAATCTCGAGTGTTAAAAAAACAATTGCTACCTAATTTTTAACTTTTCATTACTTTTTACAATAATTTTTCAAAAATGATCTATATCATTAGGGGGGGGGGGAACCTTTTAAAATACACCATTAGCTTTTAGAACTCGTTCTGGAGAAATGTCATATGCTTCATAAGGTGCTTTGCACAAACTCTATTTTGGAAATTTACAAAATAACTGTTATGAAAAATTAGCAGCACAATATTTAACCTTTTTGCTTTTGTTAGTCTTTACTAAATTTCAATAATTTTTGTTTGCATTTATGTTCCACATTTGATTATTACCATATTTATTTTCATTATTTCTATCTATATTTAAGAATAGCACATTTCACAGACTATCAATTTTAACTGCATTTGTAATGTAGCATCGAATTTTTTTTACTTTTATATCTTGCTCTATAAATGTTAAATTGAATTTTTGTTGGTCTTAACCATAAGATTTAAATTATGCTGTTTGTAGTGATACTTCAACTATATTCAATAAAGTTGTTATATACTGCAGTTGGTTTAGAAATAAATCATTTTAAAGTAATGATAGTGAATTTACTATTATTCCAAATAATTATACCAAATGTGAACAGGATTTTTTTTATACGATTTAAAATGTCTGTTTAATTAAAAAAATTTTTTTGTACTTTACGGGGTTGCTACTCCACAGAAAGAATAGAGAAAACCTGAAAAATACAGGGAATTTAAAAATTACCTGAAAATACAGGGAAGTTTGTTTCTTATTTTCGTCTTTTAACCCACTGGCGGTTAAGGAAATGGGCAAAATTGGGAGAATGTTTCTCCCCTACACACAGTTCCCCTATCTATTAACATGGGAAATCCGGTTTTGCTATGCAGAGAAGACTGCAGGTTAAAATGCGACTTTTTACGTGCAGAACCGTCAGTGGGTTAAGGCATTGCGACCACTCAACGTGTAATCTGATATTTAAGGATGATATTTCAGCAATGCTAAGCTATTTCATTTACTATAGCATTTTTTAAGTATGTTTCTTTTTTCTCGAAATTTTTCCAGCAATTGAAACTAGTATAGTTAGCGCAATATAGTTGACACAAGAGCACAAAAATTGTGTTTCCTCTTAATATATTGTCTATAATATGTATGAGGAAAACACCAGGTTTGAATGACATCCCTGATTTATCCTTTTGTTGGATACCAGACTAAACTTGTCAAATCATGCCAAGTTCGTCGTCAACCCTCTTAGTTTTAATAAACATATTTTCCATATTAAATTTTCTAAAAATAAAAGTATTTTTTTAAAACGGTTAATTTTTTTTAAAGGTATTTAAGGACAGATAAAAGATAATTGTTATTAACTCTGGGCATTTGTCCAGGCTTTTTTAAAATTTTACTCTGTAGGTTTTCCTCAATCAGAAAACTTCTTTTCCATGTTATTTTAATGGAAATTTTTGATACAATTTTCTGCTCAATGCTTCGAGTGTTAAAATTCCAAAAAACTTCTTGTCCATTTTGATTCTGAGATTCATGCCTATCTAATGGATTTGTATCATTTTATTTTTTAATGAAATATCCTAAATTAAGTTATTTTCCACTGGAAATAATACAGGCTTATTAACAGTAAGTATTTTGATGTGTTACAATTTCTTTTTTTAAGATTTTTTACTGATATTTATTGTTATTTCTGTAAGTTTCATTCAAAATTGACTATTTCATAAATTTTCAGAAATGTTACGTAGGAATGTCAGGAGTAAACAGGGTATAAAGATTCATCACTGTTCTTACTGCAACTACTCTACAATCAACAGTGGCCACTTGAAGACGCATCTGAGAGTTCATACTGGCGAGAGACCATATGCATGCAAAATATGTGGGAAATGTTTTTCTCAAAAAATTACCATGTTGTCACATGAAATGACTCATTCCAAAAAAATGCATAAAATCTTAAATTATAAATTAGGATAGGATGCATAATTTTTTCATTTTGTATGTTACTCTAACTCCTTATTACCCTGTCCAGCAATTCTGTATCTAATCTTGAGTATATTTAACTACAGTTAGCTCATATATTATCTTTGTGTAAAATTTTAATTTATATGTTTTTCTCTTACAATTGTCATTTTTATCCTTTGAAAAAGTAATGTATTTTAAAATATTTCTCTAATAGATTAGTTTATTATCTTCTTATTATATTGATGCAAGTATTTTTCTAAATTTTTTTTCCACAGATTTTTCCTAGGTGCTATAATTTTCTGCTTTTTTATTAATTTTATCTATTGTTATTAGTTGATAAATTTGCTGTACTCAAATCAGTCTTGCTTTTTAAATTTTATTTATTTATTTTTTTAATTTTAAGTGCATTCATGCTTTTTTCTTTCTTACCATATCATGCCTGTTCTTACTATTGCTGATTTTCAGAGGGCTGATTTCTCATATTTTTAATGGCTCTATTTTCTGTAGCATTTTAAATTTGTCCCACTTCCTTTTAATGTTTTTTTTTTTCGCAATTTAAAAAAAAATTTGGTGTTAGGATGTGTATTTTATATTGAAATTCAAAATCTTTCTATTACTTTTGTTGCTCTGAGATTTATTGTTTGGAAAAAGTGTAACTTTTATAGCTACAATGAATTGTTTTGTTACAGATTTATATTTTAGAAAATTGCAGAGATGTGGCATGTTTATTTATTTTTATTTTTTTTATCTTTTGATTTCTTTTTCATATGTGTTTCTGCTTCCTATTTTTTTTCCTTATTTGATCTGCTTATTTACTTAAAGCTTCCCTGATCAGTCAGGTATACTTTTTTTGTCAAAGCAAATTTAAATATCTAAGCTTTAGACATATAGTCAAAGTTTTATAACATATTAACTATATAACATATTGTCTAAGCTTTTGAGAAATGTCGCCTGTTTTTGTGCCTTGTGTTTTTAAATATCTTGCAGACATACGCCATGCTTTAAGAAATTCCTTTTTGCCCTTTTTCATATTAATGCCAAACATTTGAATTTATACTAACACTTAACTTGCATCTACACATGACATGTTGGGTTAATGAAACTTCAAAATTACAAGTTTGTAATTTATTTGCTATGCAAAACCAAATATTTCTGAAGTTTTACGTGTAATTTTTTTCTTTGTTGTTTTGAATAAATTTACTCTAGAATTATGAAATTAGTCATTGATGCCATTTTCATTTGTATTTTTTAAATGAAAACAAGTGTCATACATCTAATTTGTGAATCATAGCTTTTTTCATTAAGTTGGTGCATTTCTTATCCTCCTACTTTAACAATATTCTTTTTTAATTAAAAAGTAACAATTTCATAAATTACTTCTAAAGCTTAGTTAATTCTTGATAAAGGTGAGTGTTTTTCCACCTTGAAATTTCTTCTTTTTTGTAGCGTTCATTATCACTGGTAGTAAACTTCAAAAGATTCATTTTTATTATTACTGCAATTGCTCTACAATATATCATAGCCACTTACAAAATCATCAAAGAATTCGTTCAAGTGAGAGATTTTGTTTGTGATATTTGTCAAGCACTTTGCTCTGAGGTCCAGTCACAGGAAACACAAAAGAACTCACCTGCGCCAATTTAGAACCACTCATTCGAAATTTAATTACAGTTGTAATGAAATAAGATTTGTAGTTCTAATGTGAACTTAGAGGAAAAATTGACTGGAATGTGTCAGACCAATCTTTTATTTAAATATTTGTAGAAACTTTTACTGTATGGCTATCGTTCGAAGACTTTTAAAAGATAAAAGCAGATACTGACTCATTTGAAGGTCTTAGTGGAACTAGGTTCTCAAGAAAGGTCTTATTTTAACCTCATTTAACTATATTACGTAAACTCATTAACTTAATTTATTTTACTAACTGTTTTAAATTATGCAAATCTTGATTAAGATACTGGGATACAGTTGAGAGATTTTGAAGTGGAAAAAAATACTTTAAGTGTTTTTGGCAATACATGATTGATTATCAACCTTATAAAAACTATCTTTTGGAATTAAATTTTAACAAAACTAGGAGTGTGAATGCTACGGCGTGAGCAGTTTACATTAAGGTTAAAAATATTTTTTCGATGTTGAACAGCCAATTTGATTCTGATTTTACGACTGTCAATGTTCACCTCTGTTGTCTTGTAATTTTGAGCCCAGCTCTGAAAATAAAGGAACTCCTTGATCAAGCATTGTTACAAATTTGCCTTCGTGGAGAATTTTTTAATTGAACATCTCAATTAGTCCTGCTTTGGTAATTAACTTGAACTATTTAGGAAAGGTATAATTTTTATTTCTTATTTTCAACATATAAGCTTAAAAGCGAATTTACTAAAATGTCATTTAGAGCCTTAATTCCATTAGCTCTTTATTTTCCATAATAAACATAACTATGGTAACAAAACAAAAGAAGTCAAAGAATGGCAAACAGTAATACCATGTCTACTTACCATAGTTGAACAATGGGTGTTATAGTAATGGAATAAAGATTATTTTCATTAATATGAACAATGCCTCATTTGTTAGCTACATTAAACAATGTGGGTATTAAATCCTTATAACAAAACAAATTCTGCATGATAATAGAAGACCTTCTTAATAAAAAGAGATAACCTACAATTTTTTTAGTTTAGAGATAAACAAATTTATATTTTCATAAAATATCTTTGTTATTAGATATTTCAAATTGGAAAACTTATTACTAAACATTTACTGTTT